ATATTTTCACAGACTCAGTAAAAATACCAGAAGTACATAAAAGTATAATTATAATAGAATAACTTTGTTTATCTTGCCAATAAAACTTTACTGTAAAAACCTTTTATACAAAAAATGCAATTGCAAATACTTGTACTAAAATATTAGATTTGTCTCGGATCATTAATATGTAAAACTGACTAAGCGATTCTAGCTCGTTTATGCAATATACTTTAATCGAATAGTCATCAAGCGACATTATGCAAAAAATTATAACCGCGGTCAACACATTTTTATAGGTAGTTGATGGTTTAGTTCGCTAAGTTAATGGTTATGTTTTTAATAAATACTTTAAGTATTTCTCCTCCAGTTAGTTATGTTATAACTGATGCAAAAAATAAACGGAATGTCATAAACTGTTTTAATGCAAATGACCAACGAAGTGCACCTCTTTGGTCATTTACATCAAAACACTTAATAAAACGAAACCCGACATAATTGAAAGAATATAAAAACATATCAAATGATTTCCTTGTATGGAAGCCCGTTACAGTAGAAAAGACACCCAACGCAAGATATTTAGATAAAAAACTTAATATTCAAAAAATGCATTTATTATACAAATTTAAGTGTTTTTCAATGTGGTTCTGAGCCAGCTTCTAAAATAACTTAACGGATAATATTTTCAAAAGATTATAGTCTGATGTTTTTTGTGGGCTGGTGTATAGCAGAAAGTCTACTATGACTGGAGCATAGTAGAAATGGGGGTTCTACTATGACTGGAGAGACTTTCTACTATGACTGGAGAGACCAACGCTTAATATGCACTAATTATGCCCAAGCAGAAACAGATATCTTAAGCCGCCATTGGCTAGCTATACAAGCTATATATAGAGCATTTGTCACCTATCTGCAACTTATTTTCTGCAAATAAACGATTTCATTTTGTCTTAGAGAGCCGTGGTAGCTCAGATGGTTACTGCTCGCTGTAAATTTCACAGTACGCGGGGAAACCGGGTTCGATCCCCGCCGGCACCAATGAAATTGTTAATTGCAATTTTAAGTGCTGATTTACAACGTGCTCGGCGGTGAATGAAAACATCGTGAGGAAACCTGCATGTCTGAGAAATTAGAACAAAAATATTTCGAAGACATGTGAAGTTAGCCAACACGCATAGGGGCAGCGCGGCGGACACTTCCTTGTCCTAAACCCTCTCAGGAATGAGGGGAGGCCTGTGCCCAGTAGTAGGACGTAAATAGGCTGCAATTTTAACCAACTTTTTTTGTCTTATGTCTGAAAAATTTCCTAAAGCCTAAATCTAAAAATGGCCTGGTTGGGTTCAATAACAAAATTCCTGACTTGTGTGAACAGAGGCTAATGTTTACAGATTTAAAATCGTATCTGAAACACGATAATCGGGTACCGGCCGTGGATGTGAAAGCTACAAATGAAAGTGCATGAGATGCTAGTTGAATGAGATGGGCATTACTCAACAATTTCAACAGAAGTGCATTGTGTTTTACTTCCGAAGACAAACAAGCAGGAAATGAACCGAAATGCGGGACAGACATCGTGGTCCATTGTTCGGAAGGCCGCGTCGATTTCGTAACGATCGTTATGCAAAAACGACAAATCTGGATGGGAAGCGATAGTGTTTACTCCGTGACCTGAGAAATTAAAAACAAAGGTTACGAGTGGCACGACAATGCGGGCGAATGTAAAGGAGCTTACACACCGGCGTAAAACGACCGCTATAAATTTACGATTTCGTGCAGACAGCTTTAGACTTATCAAATTAATTAGAGTACCGACAGCAGAAAGCAAAACTCAGGGCCAACAACATGCAAGGACAAACTTTTGTTTCACGCAGCGTTGAAACCGCAACGTCGCAGCCTAAGGCTCAGTCACTCCACAAACCGAGCCATAATCGATTAATTTACACCTTACGCGAGGAAACCGAGTTAATTATTCGCAGCTCGCAGCCAATGACATTGCACGTTAAAATATATCAAACAATAATTAAAAGCATATTGGGGGTCTGTTAACATTGCGTTGAACTTGGCGTTTCTCACTAGTGCTCTACTCTTCAAATTGCTGTAAGCCTGTGTCTATTTATAGCACTGAGAGGTTTTTAAGGTGGTACTTTAATTTGCTTTATTCATATTTGTCAAAAACTGCCATCTTCGATAGTCACAATTGCTAAACTTATATCACTTCGAAGGTAATATCAGTCGTCATAATTTAAAAATAATTCTGCACTGCCGGCATTCCGAACGCTCAAATTTCACTGGCGGCAACAGTGCCGGTGTATAGATACCTTTAGCATTATGTAACTTGATTAAGATTAAGAACATCATTTAATTTAGACATGCTATCCATTCAATGAGAGCTTGTACAGTGAATGTTTATTAAAAATCTTTAATATACACTTTTTCTAGTAACAGCCTCGAGCAGCAACTTTTTTTTTACACCAACATGTATCTACATTGTGTGATGCTTTATAAAAATAAATCCGTATTTTATTTATATTACTCAGCGCGATTAGAGGAAAATCACTTATTATGGTCTGATACATATATTGCCACTCAGCTTAACTTTACATTGAACGGAGTTACGATAAACCGTTAGCGTATTGCCTACATCCTTAACAATCATAACCATGTCGTCAGTAATCAAATCAAATCAAAAAATGTTTGTTCCTTTAACAATGACTTTTATTTTTACAATAAAATAAAACTTTTAAAAATGAAACACTTTTGTATTATGTATACGTATGCTCCTCGACGATACTTATTATGAAGTATTGCGACGAAATATGCGGTATGCAGGACTAGGACAATCAAACAGACATTTTGTTTCGCATTGCGCACTAACTTCAAGTAGTATGTTATAGTAGTATTTCATACGTGGTAGAGCCACGCTGCAGCTGTATTATGGTTGCAGCACGAATGGGATGGCTCGACCGGGGCAGGACCACGCTCTCACAGAAGACCAGCGTAAAATAGCAGCTTAATACTGCCGTGTTTCGTATGGTGAGTGTAGAGATCCGGAGACCTTTCTTTATTGGGAACGAGGCATTCAATTTTAGTCCTCAGGGGTGATAACGCATCTACGTTTTAGATTCTTAATCAAGGATAAATGTAGATGTCTATGGGCCACAGCATCCACTTACCGTCAGGTGGACTGTGTGCCCGTTTATCAGCCTTATTCTATAAAAAAATATAGTAGTAGTTTTATAGTGTAGGATTTGGAAAAAATTAAATTTATTGAGTAGTTTTTAATTAACGTTTAGAGAGTGAAGTCAAGTTGTCAGTAAACCCAGTAAAAAAATCTACTTCTTTGAGACTTTGACATAGTGTGTGACACACACTTTAGAATGTCTCGTTGCAATATCTTTCTACTACTTATACAATGTTGGTATACCTAATTGAGTTGTAAATTGAAAGTATTTTGTGATACAATTTTATTAACAGTTATGTTTGATCCGGTCGAAGTGCGCGAACAAAAGAGTAAAGTGCCAGACTGGAAGACGGGCTGTGGTTGGTCGTTGAACGATGAATAAGTACAGTCGGACAAAAAATTAAAAGCTCAAATCAATGTGCAAATATAGATTTGAATCATTTGCGCTTCAGTGCCGTTAGAAATATTTCCGAGAAACAAAAGTACAAACAAGAAAAACTGCCTTAGTGAAGCAACGCAAGCAGTAAAGACCATGAAGACGATAAGATATAGCTTATCGTATAATGAGGTCACAGATTCAAGATATAATTATAATAGTCAACATCGAATGCCAGCTATTTCGTTTTAAAATTTTTAAACTTTTTTCTGCTTAGCAATATCACTGAGATGGTACTTCCTTCGTATCTATACATGTTGGCAAGCAGTAGTACTATTCTAGTATATTAATACAAATGTTATCCTAGTAGTACTGTTGCCAAGCAGTAGTGCTATCCTAGTATATCAACACAAATAATATTCTAGTAGTAGTTCCTGTTATACAGACATATTCCGGCCAGTAAGATAAGGCTGTTGCTAATAACCTTGTTAAGAATTACAGACTTTAAATTATTTCATCTTACACTTCAGAGGCTATAATAATCCTCCAGATCGAATTTCGGCTACGGCGGACAGCCTCAACGGAGGCTAGCCATAGGCGCAGGACAGGATTATAGTGCCCAAGTGTATGCGCAAGCACAGGTGCACTCTCTATTCCCTCACTCTCATAATCCGGTGGGACGGTAAACCGACACGACCGGAGAGAGATCAGGCGCAGGACCAACGGCTTTACGTGCTTTCCGATTCCGAGGCACGGGGGTGAGACACCGCCAACTTCCTGACTCCGGGCAGTTACTGAGAATTTCTTAATGGAAAATTCAATAATTGATTTTTTGGCCCAGGGCCAGGACCTCATGATCAGCAGTCGCTATAAACACAAGAAACATCTTTGGCCTTTTTTGTTTGAAGTTGGTTCCAGGTGTGCATAAACTGCAACAGTCAAATTAACATCAGGAGGTCTATATTGAATTAAAACGATTTAAGAGCGGTGATCAAACGTGATTAAAACTCAATCAATGATTAGTTAATCACTGTACTGTTTGTGACGTAACCAGGTTAATGCATTAACCTCTAACAGGAGATTGTGATAGTTTACTTCCTTTTCAATGACACATGAGCACCTGCATCATCATCATCATTACATCACATTATCACAAACCGACTACTAAATGATACATTCTCGTAAAAGTAGTATTGTTATGTCATTATACCTGAATATTTTAACACTTTGTTTCAATATACTTATTTTTAATAAAACTACTAAATAACAAGACATACTAAATACTGATATAATCCTCTTGAGACGTTGTGGCTGAGTCATCACATCGTCAGCGTACATGACTGCTGAGGCGGGTGACCTCGGTTTGAACCTTAGTCAAAATCATATTATCCGTGCAAATTAGTTTACATCGTAACAATGAGTACCTGATGCATTGTTACGAGGAATCCATCGTGAGAATCTTACCCAAGGATGTTGGGATGTTTCAATTTGTTCATGAGCTGCGCCTCGCGCAACATGTTGGGCTGGTTGGCGCGCTGCTGGTTCATCTTCAGCACCATCACCTTGCCCGTTGTCTTGTGGGTTGCCTGCACAAACAAAAAATAAAGTTATCTTTGGTAATATCATATTTTAAAAGGGATTGTAGAAAATACAGTAACTAATTGGGCGTATTACATCAATTTAAAGGTTGTTATAGGTAAAGCCCGATTATTATGTGACAAAATAACTATAGACTCAAAAACTTTCATGGCTATGACTTTACACTGTTAATATCTAATATTAATTTGCGATATTTAATCGGTAACTAAATATTTCGCCACTACAGAGTCCTAAGGCGACGTAATTTTTTTTAAATTATTGAATATGTAATATTTAATTTAAATGAATTTAAATTTTAATTGGTTAAAGCGTTACGTATGGAAAAATCATGTTTTTTTAAACCACCTGATGTGGTGATGCAAACGAAGGTGGTTTAGGTTTTTGTCTTACAAGTCCACTGCTAAACATAGGCCCAAAGAATGCCACAAAGCACGATCCTAAGCTACCCGCAACCAGTGGCTTACTGCATCTCTTACTAGGTCTCTTACGAGGCTGCCACTTGAGAAGCTAAAACTAACCCTAGGCTAGGTCTTAAAACAAAAACAATAATTCATAATAAAGATCAATTCTCGAGCTCACTCAATGTTTTTTTTTTCATCTTAGTACTTATGATACATTTTTAAGCCGAATACATTTTAGGTAGTCCAAAAATTCATGTAGATGGAATGTGTGAATTTACAGATTGAAAAAAGTATAAAAGTAGAAAATAATACATACATATATAGTTACATATACATAGAAACAATGTAATACCTATACATATATAAATAAAATTAAAGTGTGTAACGTTGAAATAACTGCTTTATTATGAGCTGAGCGGCTATTTTTAAAATGTTTGTCTGTTTGTCGGGACCAAAGACTGTTATATTCTCAATGGTCGGGGCTAATCTTCACAATAGCTAAGTCGATTAAACCGATTAAGCTGCTATTTGACGCTGGTATTCTGTGAGAGCGTGGTTCTTCCCCGGTCGAGCCGACCCATTCGTGCTACAACTAAACCAGTGATATAGCTGCAGCACGGCCCTACCACGTAGAATGATAGCACGTATATTGTAATTGAACCTCAAAAACAGACAGAGACAAGAATGTCAGGAGTGATTTAGGCTACATTGTATCCAAAAAATTGGACATTTAAAAGAAAAACGAAAAATTAATAAATATAATTACGCCACATTAACAGATCCTATAGTAACACAATTAGTCAACTCTTCATTTCTACGTCAAATTAATATTTAAATTTATATTAAGACTGAATACTGAACCGGTAGGTATCATATTAGAATACAGTAAATAACTTTTATATATCAAGAAACGGATAAGACCAAGATAAGACAAATAAAAGATAAACGAACACTTTCTTTCGAAAGTCGCAAATATTTTTTTTCTTTGAACTGCGATGTTCCAAATAAAGATACTCCCCGTATATACTGGACGATCACAGGCATGTCTTCAAAATTTGCAGACAGTACTTCGCAATTCCCCTATTCATATTGTATTTATATTAGTTTAAAATAATGACTACCAAGTCTATTAAATGGAATAACGACCTGGTAAGATCAGTATGCAGTAAGTCTTAGGGTGCAGCTGACTAAGGACTATATTTTTAGGCTTTTCTTGAGGGATGCCTATGATCAGCAGTGGACTTGTGAAGGGCTGTAATGATAATGATGATTGGGACTACTCCATCCTCTTGCGATCAAATAGTTTTTAGCATAATATGTGCGGAAGTTGTCTACCACGTGATATAGTATCACAAGTAAAATTATTATTGTTAAAATAAGTAAGTTAAAATTATATCCACTCGTGCGCAAGTAAGACTAAGGGTAAGACCTCAGTAGAGATCGTTTTGCGGAGCTTGCAGCGTGGCGTCATGCCTAATAGACTTACTCTTGTATTGCAGTGTCATGAAACTGTGTGAAGGCTTGTAATATATAAGAGGCCTGTGGCCAGTACTGGGACGTATATAGGCTATAATTTCATAGAAACTATATTTAATAATAAATGGTAACAACAATCGCAACAATTGCGTGCTTTATCTGCCAATGAAACTAAAGTAATAAAGCATTCTCAATTGTGCGACCTACGGTGCGATTGGAAAACAAAACTCTTATCGAATCGGATTTGTCAGGTTGTACAGACGACGTCTTTGTTATGAATGCGATTCATATTTCAATATAGTTATTCGTATATTTTATATAGTGGACACAATTGAAATTTGTCACCATTCGTTACACGGTTGCACCAAGTTGTAAGTCTCGTGAATTCACTATATAGTCGTCTCGCAACTTTAACGCTGATTTTTCTATAAAGAGCATTAAGCTGCTATTTCACGATGGTATTCTGTGAGGGCTGTTGAATCGGCCTATTCATATTATGCTACAACGAACTCTACCACATAAAATGCTTTGTTTAATCATATAATGTAACCATTTCCCGAAAATCCAGAAAAAATTAACGTATCAATTTAAAACAGTATTTTTATTAATCGTACTTACTACTAAAAAGTTATGTAGCCAGTCTTACTTTCGAAATTTAAACGTAGACCGAAAACATTTTTCTATTTATTTATATTAAATGTTTGCAAATGCACGGTTACAATGTTCAGTTCAGGATATACGAGTATTGTATCTCAGTGGCGAATCCATTCGTATTGAGAAGGTGAGCAGCGAATCCCGATCAATACCGCATAGTCCGATAGTTTTTCGAGGAATTAGTAGTGCTATCGGAATAACATTATCATCACTTATCATTGATGCAAACGTATCATTACAATGAACGGTCAATCGGAGCAATTCGTTTGACGTTGGAGCTTCGATATTTTTAAAGGATATAAGGGTTCTTGTGAAATTTGCTATAAATATAAAAAACGCATACTTATTGAACTATGTCTTATACATGGAAATTTAAGACAAAAAGAGATTGAATAAATGAACAATATATTATGATTTTCAAATTGATTTTTTATTAGGTAGAAGCATACGACGCGTAACCACTATTTAATAATGGATAAAATCTATTTAGAGAAAGATCGTGCATTTTTAAATGACTAAAAATGTAATATGTGCGTTTGCCCAACAGCATTAGTAGTAAGATCGTAAAAAAAAAACGTTCGGCAGAGCACAAAATAAATATCACAACAATATATATATATATATATATATATATATATATATATATATATATATATATATATATATATATATATAAACTATGAATCCAACGCTTGCACTCAAATGGCTCACGTGTGCGTAGAAAATTATAAACAATGCCCGACATTACGTGCTATCAGCGTTAATCTGGGTCGCGACGTGTTCCAGACCAGATCGGATTTCTAGATTTCTAGACTACCGCTTAAATTAACCGCTGCAATGTTGTAATTTACTTTTCGATTGCGTGGGATCTGACACGGGATAATCGTATTTCGAATCTCCACATACGCTGTAAAATATCAGCCTGCAAAACTACTGCATGAAACTGATCTCGTCTCAATTCTAATATGATTTGACTCTTTCAATAATAATGAGCTTTTTATTGCATAAAATTAAGAACGTACGTAAACTGTTTTAGCCTTTGGTAAATTGCATTTAGTCTCAAATTTAAGTTAGAAATCAGTTCCACGAAAGAAGCCCAGCGGAAATAAGCAAACTAAAATTTTAAATATGGAGTTTGACAGCAAATGTCAAAATTCGCGAAGACAGTGGCGCCGTTGCTAGTGATCTACTTTAATTAGCTGGACTCTTTTGAAACCATAGTTTAAACCCAGAACTATGAATAAACCACTTTTTGTATTAAAACGGTTATAGACGTGAATATCAAACACAATAAACTGGTCTGGTACTCACTTAAAATACTGAACTAAGGATAATTACAACCATGGCATGACATTGCTAATACAATATAACGGTAACAAACAAATCGAGATAAAGAAGGGTGGAATTCAGTCGTAAATAGTTTCATTAATAAAGAGAAAACAAAAAAGTTTTTTTATAAAAACATCGCACGATGTTAAATGTCTTATTGCTCTTTTTCCTTGAACGTTATCATCATTTTATAGATTAAAGCTATTAGATGCAGCTAAATGTTTAAACAAATATATTCAGTTTATTCCGCTAAGATAAAATCTAGATAGTGCGCAATTTGAAGAATTTTGTTCTTAATGAAAAAGCGAGTAATCGCATCGTCTGCTGTCTTTAAAATTATTCTAACAGAATTCGCAGACTTCGCGTGACCAGGTAAGAGATTTTTAAATGAGTTCCGAGGTAACGATCAAAATAGGCTTCATCATCATTATCTCGATGTTCAGCAGTAGACTAATTATCCATAGCTGGACATTGACCTCAACCAAATCGGGGGGATTAGCGGTAATCGTCACTATTTGTCAGTCTAGCAATACTGCGGGTGATAGCAATACTAAACTATGAAGTTTTTACGAAATATTTATCGATTAATTTCTATAGATGTTGAAGGGTACTTACGCATCATGTCAGCGTTTTCACTTCAGACTTGGAACAAAAAAAAAATTCAAGAGCTGAATCTGTACGTGATGCCACGAAGAAGTTGGAAACGTTAATATTTATTTGTCAGATCGGCCGGATCTGTACGATTGATTTAGATTCGTTTTGCGCAAACTCAGTGAGCTAACATTTCTGGGGCTCGATGGACGCTCACAATGGCCACACCCAAACGAATATCAACTACGCATTTCAATTATTCCTCCGTATGAATGAAAGTAAAAGTAAAGTAAAGTTTTAGCATAAATACGTTTTACAGCGGGACACACCAGGCTTCCTCTCATTTATTAATCCGAATCTACGCTTCAGTGCGTATTAGCAGACTTTACATATTTTCCTACACTCCTTATGCATTCTCCATCCGTCACAAACTGCAGTAGGTACCAATTATATCGGTAGTAGCTAGCATCAAACTCTGGTCTCTTGTGTACTGGCAAACGCCTATGGTTTAGCCTCTGAGCTATAACGGCGTATCA